CATGTAGAGTGTATGACTCAGTTCCATGTAGAGTGTATGACTCAGTTCCATGTAGAGTGTATGACTCAGTTCCATGTAGAGTGTATGACTCAGTTCCATGCAGAGTGTATGAGTCAGTTCCATGCAGAGTGTATGAGTCAGTTCCATGTAGAGTGTATGAGTCAGTTCCATGTAGTGTGTATGAGTCAGTTCCATGTAGTGTGCGGCAACTGTGTGTAGAGGGTGAGAGAGCTCCAGGGAGCCACAGTGGTGTAAGATGGTAATGTTGTTCCTCCTGCAGACGAAGCTCCTGCTGGTGCTCCTGCTGGCCGTCTCCGCCGCCCTCGCCAGCCCCGACCCTCACAAGTTTAAGGGCGGCTATGGTGGAGGCGGTTACCAGGCAGCTCCCGTCTACTTTGTCCCCGTCCCAGTTTACTATGGCGGCTACTACGGCGGCTATGGCGGTTACTACGGCGGCTACGGAGGCGGCTACGGAGGCGGCTACGGAGGAGGGTATAAAGGGAAAAAATTTGGAAGGTAGCTTTAACCAGAGAGTGAGTTAGTCTTGGTAAACTTGCCTGTTGAGTCTTGCCAGAAATTCTCACCCTCTGCTCTCCCCTCGCTGTGTTCACGCGTGAAAGGTCTCTCCTCTACACTCCTCTGTCAAACCAATAAACTTAGATGACTGTGCATTTCTTTGTGTTATTAATCCTATGTGGTTGACAAGTGCATTTTCATAATAAATCGGAGCACAATTGACATGGCATATATCATGTTAAAACTCCTCTATACTTTTTGAATGAAAGTTCATGATTTCTAATACCTCTCGTATTCATCATTAGAACTAAAAATACTAATAATAAATTAAAAAAATTACCAGCAAACTAAAAAACTCGTATTGGACAGGATTGTGATTAAGATCGTTCAGCCCAGGATGAGTTTTTTTGTTTTGCTGGATAAATTTAATATTTTTATTTTTCGATCTGATGATGAATGCGAAAGGTATCTGATCCGTCATGAATTTTAAGAATTATTTTTAACAATATGTTTGTTATATCAAATGTGCTCTTATTTATTTTGAAATTAATCCCGAAGAAAACATCCATTTACATATACATATTATATATATATTTAAATATATATAAATAATGAGGAATAATATCCTTTTATTTGGCAATGTATGCCTCATCGTCCCTCCAAGGAAGGACAAATCACATAAATTCTGTCATTAGGACCATAAATGAACACCGTAAGGGGATAACACCTTGTTCGCTACTTCGTCATGCAAAACACACCCATAGCAGAAATTATAACAAAAACATATCGGAAACGTTCACATCAGAGTACAAGATTGAAGAGGTAAATACAGCAGAGGCTATTCGAGTCATCACCAATGACGAGAAAATGTCTACGGTTCGAGCTCTACAGAGCAAACACCCACACAGAGCACCACGAATCGGCAATATCATACCACCACCACCAGCAGCAACAGAGACCAGATCAGGCCCATTAACTGTTAGCGAACCTGAGCTCTATAAAGCAGTTTTTTCCACCCGGGTGAGCAGGCAGCATTACTGGATTAAAACATCAACACATAAAGCAAATGCTTCATGTGCATCCGGCTGTTGGTGATGCTGCACACGATCTTCTTACAGAACTCACAAGGCTCGTGAACACGTGCCTGCCTGGTGGTGTACCTGGGGTCATCGGGACTCTGTTATGGGTCCTTCCTCTGTGAACTCAACAGGAAGGATGGAGGAGTCAGGCCCATCGCTGTTGGCAACCAGGCGTCGGAGAGTGTGGCCAAGGCTGCCACGAGGGTTGTCAGCCAGTAAACTGCTGAATTGCTGAAACCAATTCAGCTTGGATTTGGGATCCCACAAGGATGTGAAGCGGCTGCTCATGCAACATGATTGTTCATCGCCAGTATATCTGACAAAAAGGCGCTGATCAAACTGGACTTTAAAATGCTATTGACATAGAAAGATGCAGTGCTGTATGTCGCCATTTCCGGCCTCTCTACCTTTTTATTCAATCATGATAAGTGGCGAAGCAAAATTGCTCTCTGGCCAACAGGAAATCTGATAAAGCGGTGTCTAGCTCCACTTTTTTCTGCATGGTTTTAGAGGAAATCACCGAAAGTTTGTCCAGAAAGTTCAACATCTGGTTTTTGGACGATGGCAATATAGCTGACTCTGTAGACCTTCTCTTGGAATATATTGGAAAAATAAAGAAGCAAGGAGAAAACTTAGATATCTGCCTTTACACCTCTATAAATGAAGTAGTCGCTTCTAATACCATAGAGTAATTTTTTCTCCACAGAGTCCATGTAATCAGGCCCAGAGACAGCATTCTCCTCGGAGCTCCTCTGAGCCCCAATGCCATTGACGAGATCCTCGATAAGAAAAAAATCACGGACCTAGGGAAGGAGGGAACATAAGATTGGTGTCATCGATTCTCATGATGCTTTTTATCGTCTCACTAGAGGCCTTTCTCTTCCAAGACTATCATACTATCTGAGGTGCGCCTGTTGGGATCGAACTTCCTGCTGAGGAGCAGACCCCAACACATTTATACCAGTAGTTAAACGAGTAGTAATTTTAATTTTTATGAACGAGGTCTCTTTTCATATGGCTTTATCAGGTGCCATTCTCCCCCAGCCTGGGCCATCGTCAGGTGCGACACACTTTCTAAGGCTGGATTCCTCACTTTAACCATGAACTCAAATCTTTGGAAGAAAAAACAGTGCAACAATATCATCTGCATTATCCAAAGACACTTATTTACAACTGTATGATCACGTATATAGATTAATTCACAGTATATAATGATTAAATAGCCGTCACCAGACAGTCAATACGTATCAAAGAGAACTATCACTTCACCGGACTATTTCCACGGTCCGTAAGTTCGGAGAGTTCAGGTAACTCCCTCAGGCGCCTCCCTTAACGCTGTTTCAACATTTTGTAAACATCTTGATCAGGAGACACTCTTAAACTCCTAATGCGTCGAGCCATCACACTGTATCACGGAGTGGAGCACTTCTTAGGTCGATTATGTCGTCGACTACCAATCTAGACTTGATGCTTTCGTCGATGGAGAGAGTGGAGTAATGTTCACGCTGAAACTTCTCTGTGCGCTCTTTGCCTCGTCCAGCGATTCTGATTGGCCACCAGAATTTTCGCCACCAGACGAGCAGTGCTGGTCCCAAACAACACCTCTGGTTGTTGTCCTTGCTCCTCCTGCAATAGTTTAATACATTGAACTTTTATATTACCTTTTAATCTTAATTTGGTGCGATGATTTAACGTGTCCTGATAACTTTCCGTAACACGCCTTATCTTACAAAAGCTGAAATCTTAAAGAGTGTGACATCCTACTGAAGACCATGCAAGCAAAAAGTTGTCAACCTTACAGTCAATTACTATTACTGGAAACAAGCCAGTCTTCCTGTCAGACTCGGTGGCCTTGGTGTCACTTTCAACTATGGGCAGCCTCAAACCGCAGACCACATAAACAACAGCCTGCAGCTCAACCTACTGAGCCACCAGCACCCCCTAAATAAGAAAGGATTCTAGAGAAAACTATCCAACTATCTGCTATCCAACTAGGAATTTAAGCCTTCCTTGGGGTGCCACTTTGCCATGAAGGAGTTAGGTGATCCAAGTTTTTGCCCTGTCAGGGGAGAAATGACTAGGCACCATTCCTTAACTGTACCCCTCTGTTTAGTGGGGGTACAGTTCATGTACCCATCCGTGGGCACATGATGCCTGTTCGGCTTATCGATATTTATGTATTGTACAGAATTTTTGCAAAAAATACACACACAACTAAATTACTTCTCTAATTTTTGTTCCTAACCTCCTCCCCCCTCCCCTCCCTACCTCGGCAAAGGCAGAAAAATTAAATTAAATTGTGAAGACAACTGAGGAAATAAACTAAGTCGATCACGCACTTTGGTCAACGACAACCAACACTTGCATTACAAATGAACACAAATATACTACAGTATTTATTTGCTTATTTATATATATATACAAGAAGGTATATTGGAATTGTGAGGATACATAGCATAGTAATCACATTCTTGTAAAGTCACTAGTACGCGCAGCGTTTCGGGCAGAAACGTGGTTATACGTATAACCAGTATACGTGGTTATTCTGGTATGCAAATGGCCAGGCTTTTGTATGACTGGATGGTGGCCTTGATTTGTTGTGGTGGTCGCTACACTACCACCACCACTTCGATTCCCCTGTCGGGGTTGAAGGCTCATTAACACAGTACACTAAATGTAGTCTAACAAATCTCTAACTCTGTCTATGGAGGATACAAGAGAAAATGTATATATGATTGTTAGCAGCATTGTATAAATGAAATCTGTTTTGTCATAAGGTAAACTAAAATAAATATCTTCAGCTTTCAAAGAAAACGGAGCAACACTGGAGTGTTCTTAGCGTGGTGGCAGTGGAAGGGAGCTACCACTGTACTCGCATAGTTATACGAGCCTAGTTATGCTGCGGGTACCCCACAAAAGAAATACTAATCTCCTGTGGGGGGTACTGTGTCAAAGGATTTCTGGAAATCTACAAATGTGCGGCCTGCCCACCCTTTTCGGTCTTGTCATAGAACTCTATTAGACCTGTGAGTTAAGTTTTACCCACCCTGAGTGGAGCACTCGTGAGCACTGCATCACAGAGGCAGGACTAAATGAAACAATGCATCACTTTAACACAGACAATGCAGGTGTATGAGAGAACTGGATTGCCTTGTGATGCATCCGAACTGCTTAGAGGATGGAGGATGGGGGGGGGGGGTTACAGGGCGTTGCTCGAGTGAAGCCTCTATCCTCCCTCATTAATTGACTAAAATGCATTCCATTTATTGACTAATCTGACACTAAAAAAAATCGTTCTAATGACTCTGCGGCTCGTTCGGGTGCTTTGATTCCACCTGTGTTCCCTTGTGCGAGTACCACCCGTGTTAAATAGTCTCTCTCTCTCTCTCTCTCTCTGTGTGTCTTCATCTTTCTCTCCATCTCTCCCGTTCTTTCTCTTTCTCTGTGTTTCCCTTCCGTCTTTCTCTTTCTCTCTCTCAAGCTCTCTCCCCCCCCCCTCTCTGTCACTGTCCCTCTCTCTCTCTCTTTCTCTCTCTCTGTCACTGTTTCTCTCTCTATATATATCACTGTCTCTCTCTGTCTCTCCCGTTCTTTCTCTTTCTGCCTGTCTCTCTCTCTCTCTAAAATAAAACTTGGGTTCATTAAGAATTGTGCTAAAGTTGCTAATGAAACTGCAGTGTAAGAGCTGTTATCCTTCATCACCTCATTTAAAGCCTGTCCCTGGAAACTTATTTTTTGTGGGCCTTTTTGTTTATTATCCATTATGAGGATGAATCATCAACCAACTGCGTGAGAAAGCGTCTATCTGGTCGGCAGTCTTGATTACACGTGTACCTCCATGTTTAACAGTAATCCAAATGCGAGTCAAACTTGGAATGAATGATCACTGATGGAGTGAATTTCTTGTGGAAGTCACAGCCAACATAAGACTATTGATTGCTGAGCGCCTTGTAGTGTGATTCCAAATTTCTGGTTGTCCACAAAGTTGAGAAAGATGGAGGGAAACCTTGAGAACATTTGCCTTGTACATAACAATAAGTCCGCCTTCATCTCTGCTGTTTTGAGGGCTCTGATGGGCTGACCAGTCCGTCCAGAACTGGTCATGGCCTGAGATGGATCTTCTTGCACGGTCCTTCACCTTCAAAATCCTGATAAACTGCGGGGGTAAGGGGAGCAGGCTGTCCATGTGAGTGGTGCTTAATCAAGATGGAACCTAACTTGAGCCTCATGTAAGATTTTGTAGCCCCCCTTCTGTCATGAAGATATGACAATCGTCTTAATAAGGTAGCTAGCTTCGTGACTGTCTTGCCTTTCACAAGCAAGTGATTTTTCTTTGTTACTGAAGAGTCAACCTACCATCCCAAGATGTCAGCTTCGACACGGAACAGGGTTTTGTTTCCATTCATTTATACACGTGTCACATTTGCAATATCATACTGTCAAGTTATCACCATCGCCTGTGTTTTTTTCTGCCGCAAATGGGACCTGCCATCGCCATCCCTAGGTAGATATTGCTGAAAGTTAATGATTAATGAATCTCGTAAGAGTTGGTATTTCTTATTTTACACATTTAAAGGTTAGAGTACAGTCATCAGCATAGTCCCGAGCTCTTTCTCTCTGCCACTGTTATACACATACACATATATATATATATTATATATATATATATTATATATATATATATATATTATATATATATTATATATATTATATATATTACATATATAATATAACAGTTGAAAGCTCATCAGGGTGAAGCAGGGTGCAGCAGAGTGCAGCAGGGTGCAGGAGGTGTATGCGTAGAGGATTGATATTCATGCGAGAATGATGGTAAGTAATGTGCTAGTTTTCTCGAGGCGGACGGATAAGCTCCATTCTCATTAGTCTACTTTGGTTTACTCTACACAACACCTGCATCAGCCGACCAATGAAAATGCACGATAATATTACTCGACGCCACAACAAGATAAGCGCCTCATTTCTCACAGATGGTGCTAATGTGCTGGAGTTTTAGGCGGCCTGAGGTCGACCACAAGCAACCCAAACACCCGAACAAGTCCAAATAAAATGAATTTGTTCATTTTGTTTATGTTCAGATTTGAACAAATCTGACATCTATTCGGGTATTTGGAACAAATGTGTCCAAATACCCGTACTTCCCCTTAGTCAGAAACGCCAGCAGTTGACAGTTACATCCCCGCTCCTGTGCCAGGTAAGTCCACAATGGATTCACCATAGCCCGTGCTACTTGTAACTTTTGGTTCCGAATAGCTGAATCTAAAACAACAACAACAACCAGCAGTCCCGTGTCGGGGCCCCGCAGCTAAACTACAACCGCAATCACTACTGCGCATGACCAACCTCATCCCGCAATAGAAGAGCTATTTATAATCAATGTAAATCTATATCATACGTTTAATGTAAACAATACTCAGGATACTCACAAGGGAGTACAAGTCATGGTTGGTAAGACCAGTAACTCAGGAAACACCTGCCGGATTCCTCTTCAAGTTAGTCGGTGGGGAAGTTGTTAAAAGTGAATCTTATGATTGGAGTTCATGGTAAAGCCACCTCCACTCAGGCCGTCGTCTCGGGGCTTTCTCTTCCACCAGCACGACCTGGGCCGAGATTGGTGTATCCGAAGGTGACACCTCCAGGCCCCAGCGCCCACCAGACGTCCTTCCCGTCAATATTCATCTTGGCGGCATTTGGAACTCGCTTCGGCAGTATATATATTGTGGGCGAGCAGAAGGCATCAGAAGCCACTACCTCACTTCGACTCCACGATGAAGCTTGTGAGTTAACTTCGGGACTTTTACGCCGGCACATTTATATTAAGAATGATATATTCACGTGAGGCCTAGTTGGATGCATCCAAGTTGGTCAATATATTAGCTAACAATATATCATATATTTATACATTTTTCATGAAAACACCTGGGGCGAGATTCACGAAAGCACTTACGCAAACACTTACGAACCTGTACATCTTTTCTCAATCTTTGGCGGCTTTGTTTCCAATTATTAAACAGTTAATGAGCTCGGAAGCACCAGAAGGCTGTTTATAACAATAACAACAGTTGAATGGGAAGTTTTCATGCTTGTAAACTGTTTAATAAATGTAACCAAAGCCGTGAAAGATTGAGGAAAAATGTACACGTTTGTAAGTGCTTTCGTGAATCTGGCCTCTGGATCATAACACTGCACGACGATAGAACAGGTTCAGGGAGAACCAGTGTAGGTATGACTTAGTGGTTTGGTCTGCTTGAGAATGGGTAAACGAGTCATGTTCCCGTAGAGGTTTATAAAGTCTCAATGTGTAGGAGGCCTGGTAGAGGTACTTGGAGGTCTGAGACCAGACTGACATGACCGCAAAAGCACTTGTGCTTTATTCAACTACTTTGGCAGGACGGTAGAGCGACGGTCACGCTTCATGCAGGTCAGTGTTCAACCCATGACCGTCCATGTGGTTGGGCACCATTCCTTTCCCCCGTTCCATCCCAAATCCTTATCCTGACCCCTTCCAAGCGCTGTATAGCCGCAATGGCTTGGCGTTTTCCCCTGACAAATCCCCTTGTGCAGATATTTTCTCAGGTTCAGATACCACGGGCTCCTGGGAATAATTGTAGTCAAACAATTTTATAATTTATAGAAGGAAAACAAACGTAAATTCAATAACGATATGAGCAAAATTTATGGCCAATGTGAACTAGAATGATTAGATAAATTAAGCTAATTCCTAATAAATAAGGTGGAAGCTGGAACAAAGTGGAAGAAGAATGTCGTTGTCTGAAGAGATTGTAGTGATGCAGTGGCTCCTAGACCTTATTGTTGTTCCTCCTGCAGACGCCGCTGCTGCTGGTGCTCGTGCTGGCCGTGTCTGCGGTCCTCGGCCTGCCTGACCCACACAAGAAGAAGGGTGGTTTCGGTGGTGGTAAGAAGTTCGGCAAGAAGTTCGGTGGCTTCGGCGGAGGAATAATTCACCGTCCCATTCACGTCATTCCTGTACCAGTCTTCCACGGCGGTGGCTACGGCAAGGGCTTCGGAGGAGGGTTTGGAGGCGGCTTCGGAGGCGGCTTCGGAGGAGGTTTTGGAGGCGGCTTCGGAGGTGGTCGCGGCTTCGGTGGCGGCTATGGAGGCTACGGACGGTAGACTCGTCTACTGGGAGTTGAGAGTTGGTCTGGGAAGATTGCCGTTGTGGAGAGTCTTCCCAGAATGTAAACTTTCACGTGTCCCTGTTCCGTGACGCTAGACATGATGTGTGATGTAATTCACGTGTCAAAACTCACCAGTATTCACTTCATTTTACACTCTTTTGTTTATTTTAATCCATGATCACGAATATTTTCTTTTCATCTTTTGATTGCGTTTTTTACTACTTTGTAAATAAAAAAAAGTTTAATAAACTTAGAAAAATATATAAATGTGTATTGTAGCCTTTGATCTTCAAGTATATATTAAGTAAGAACCACAAAGACAATTAAGAATATTTGCCCCAGAATTGTCCTATTCTTCCACAAATCATCAAAAGATTATTTCAATCCTCTCTGCCCCTTCTATCCGAAAATATTTGGGTCTGGGTAAAATGTATGGGTATGAAAATGCACGAATCTTCTCGATATTTCTTATGTTTTTCTTCACTGAAGCAGGAAGTTAAAAGTTAACTCTCCAAAGTCCATTTTTACACTTTTTATTGGGTACTAGGAACATAGTGGATACCTACGCATAACTAGAGATATAGATAGTTGGACAGATAGATAGACAGGATAAAGACAGTAGTAGATAAAGATAAACAGCAGATAAAGTTCGTGAAATATGGCAAGTATCCTGGATCGTCAAATGAATAATTGAAAAGCTAAGGAAGGGATAGATAAGAGGGAAAGTTCTTCTCTCCCGGTCTCCAAGGTGTTAAACAACGTCTGAACAGGGGAGGTTACGGAATGAGGATTAACAAAAACAAAACCCTGAAGGGGTCCAGGAAAATGGTACTATGTTCCTATGAAATATAAATATGAAAGATGGAAATTCTGAGATTTCTGACGGAGATTTATCAAGCTCTGAGGGGATGAGGACGCAAGGTTCCCTGAGAGGATTTGTTCACATAAGAAGAGTGTAGCAGTGATGCTGTGACACATGAGAGGACGATGTTGTGACACATAAGAGGTATTGATGCTGTGACACATGAGAGGAAGTGTTGCAGTGATGCTGTGACACATGAGAGGACAATGCTGTAACACATGAGAGGTATTGATGCTGTGACACATGAGAGGAAGTGATGCTGTGATGCAGCGAGACATGACAGGGAGCAGTGATGCAGCGAGACACGAGATGGAATGTCTGCATCAGCATATCACACACTTTAAGGAGTGAAGCACAGCAGCTGTTTACACAGCAACAAGGCAGATGTGTCCAGAGTTCCTGGTGGAAGTAAGAACATAAACCACGAGAAATAATACAAGTTAAGTGGTCTGGAAAAAAAAAGAATCATGGCAGACTGAAAAAACCATTTGAGAGCTACGAGAAAAATTAACCAGTGATAGAGAAACTGAATATTGTTTAGTCATGGTATTCCTTGTTAGAGTTTAATGTTTATAAAGCTCATATTCCGGCCAAAACGCAAGAACTTTGATCCCAGCGGAGGGAGAGAAGACGCTGCTCTACCCCGAGTGTCAACAAAGGCTTTGTCCTCACAGGTTTAGAAGGGTATTGTATGTTCCTCAGCCTAAGTCTCACACATTATGGTAAGACTTTTAACGATGTCTCATGTGATGGGGTACTTAAAGAGATTTGTTGAAATATTTTAAATATTCAGTCAATACCTCATTACGAAAATAAATATTATAAAATAAAATATTACGGCGATTTGAAAATGTTTTTAAAATAAGGACGAGATTATTAATATTGCATAAAAAAACACAGAAGACTTTGAAGGACTAAGCATTTTACGTTTCTCTAGAGCCTTGACAAGGTAGCCACATCTCATCACATTGAACAAAATATATATTAATGTGTTTAACTTTGTATTTGTGTAACTTTTAAACAATGTTTGTATTGTATTTGTTTCACGTTTAACTTTCCTAACAAATGGAAATTTACTTTCCCTCTGCTGAGGAGTATCTTAATAAAATGTTTCAGGAACATTAAAAGTATAAAGGGAAAGTTTGAGAGAAAATTTTAAGCATCTTCCCCACGTGAAGAAGAACCTGAGATATATCTACTTGTTGGTTCTGGAAATCAGTGTCCCGAGGCCCGGTCTCTGACCAGGCCTCCTGGTTGGTAGTTTGATCAACCAGGCTGTTAGACGCCTCTGGTTGCAGTCTGAGAGCTCTACACAACGTTCTCCTGGTCAATAACCACTGGAACATTATCTAACACAGTGCACAGTTACAAACCCAATAAGATTTCAAATTAGAATCAACAGAGCAGAAGTTGTTAAACAAAAGGGGCAAAATCTTACTGAAGCGACCATACGAGTTATAAATTCTCACACTCCACCTAAGTAAAACAGAAACAAGCAACACTTAGTGGGCCGGCCAGAGGCTAAGGGCCCGCGCAGGAATATCCCTGTAAAAAAAAATAACTTCTCCACTTATGAATGGGGCTGTCAGCTTGCAACAACAATCCTACCCAGGGAGCAGGGTTGCAGCTGTCTTGCAAAATTGTGCAGGGCGACGCGGATATTCGGCGATGTTCATAGGTGAGTCGAGGATGAACCCCATTTGAAAAGGGGGGCTATGAAAAGGTAGCCCGCCTCTCTTTGCCTGAAATGCCAAATGACATCAATTTCCAGTCTTGCTAAACACCAGACTTTGTGATTTGGTCATCATTTCTTCAGCCAAGTTATTGTGACTCGTCGTTTTCTATGGCGATGTTCCCCTGAGTGATCCCTGCTGAGCGCTGAGCGATGCAGGCAACTGTGCTGAGTGCTTGAGATTGTCGCTGCTGGCTGGTAAAAGCCCTCATCCCATTTTAATTTTCATTTCCCTCTCGTGCATCTAAGCCTCCGTCTTATGAACCGTCTCCAAAAGTAATTCACCAGACGAAAAGTGATCTCAGAGCCTGGGAAATTTAACGTTTTAGTATTAAATAATTCTCTATTTCAGATAAGAGGAACCATGGTAATTAGGTTCTTCGTACCATGAAAATACCACGTACTTGGAGGGTGTTTATGTAATTCTTTCATCCTAAGAACTCTGATCTCATGCTAAAAAATGTATCAGAGCTTCTATCATTCTTACTTTGTATAATCATGGCGGTCCTGTAAATACTAATTCCTCTGTTTCTCCTCTGATAAATTATGTGTTTAATTTTTTGTCTTAAGTCTTCAAAGCTACTTAAGTATTAAACATTAAGAAGGAACGAAAATTGTGAGGAGAAAGCGCTAAGCCAGTGATTATATATATATAGCACATGGAAGGGATACGAGGACAGGATAGAAGCTGGGACAGTTGGATAGAGTGAAGAAAGGACTGAAAAGTATGTATTGGGAGAGTGTGACTACATTCCCCATGTGTGTTCAGTGTTATCTTGAGGTTATATTGAGATAATTTTGGGGCTTTTTTTTTTTAGTGTCCCCGCGGCCCGGTTCTCGACCAGGCCTCCACCCCCAGGAAGCAGCCCGTGACAGCTGACTAACACCCAGGTACCTATTTTACTGCTAGGTAACAGGGGGCATAGGGTGAAAGAAACTCTGCCCACTTTTTTCTCGCCGGCGCCTGGGGTCGAACTCAGGACCACAGGATCACAAGTCCAGCGTGCTGTCCGCTCGGCCGACCGGCCCCAGGGGTGTGCCTGAGGGCTTAGCTTCATATAAACCGTCTGTGTCACTGATTCGTGTCTTCTACAGCTATAGTAAAGGCTTGACCTTATCTCCTGGTAGTTCATTTCCTGGCATCCTGCTCTATATTATCCTATTCCGAAGAAGTACGACCGTTTTGCCTCCCCCTTTTCAATTATCACCCTTTTGTTATCTAAACACTTGTTGAACCTATACTCCTTGAAAGTTTCTTAACCTCCCGAGCCTCCTCAATCATGTCTAAACGTGTGTATCATTGTATATGATACATACACATTATCAAATGTAGATATGATAGAGCCCAGTAGGCTCAGGAATCTGTACACCAGTTGATTGACAGTTGAGAGGCGGGACCAAAGAGCCAAAGCTCAACCCCCGCAAGCACAATTAGGTGAGTACAATTAGGTGAGTACACAGATACTCTCATTGATAGAGTATCAACGTGTGTATCAATGTATGTGATACACACAGATACTCTCATTGATAGAGTATCAACGTGTGTATCATTGTATATGATACACAATGATGCTCCCATTGCTCACTGACATATAACACATTTCACGTCGTGTTTACAGTTAATCTTTGGTCAAGAATCGAAGCTTTGGACAGAGTATGGCACAAGGTTTTCCCCTCTAAGCTTCCATCCTTTCATTTACAACCAACTGCCTATGCGCTTTTTTCCTAGTTTCTCCTCTAATGGGTACCGTTGGCGCCACTTATGACTCCCCCTCAGCCAACAGCGGTGTTCCGCGAGGTGCTGTTTTGTCTTCCTTTTAATTGTATTAATACAAGATTTTCACTGTAAATCAAATGACATCTTGTGCTGGTCACATCCTCACACCTCATTTCTAGTCCTCCGGAATCCCTCCATAAATTTCACCAGAAGTAAAATTATTTGACTTTGATAACTAAATTTTCTTTTGGGATACTAGGAATACAGGAAAGGAAGGAATTTTCCTCATTGTTTAAAGAAAAACAATAAGTTTTTTCAAGTTACATTAAAGCGGACACTGGTTTATTACAAGTAATATTTCGAAAACTCTTTTCAGGAGCCTTAGTCATTCATCAATATTCTGGACACCACTTGTCATGGAAACTTGACATATAAGTGACATAAAGTAGTTATCAGGAGGAAGCGCTGAGCAATTACGACTATAGAGCACCGGGAAGGGGTCAGGATAAGGATTTGGGATGGGATGAGGGGACGGAATGGTGCCCAACCACTTGGACGGTCGGGGATTGAACTCCGACCTGTATGAAGCGAGACCGTCGCTCTACCGTCCAGCCCAAGTGGTTGAACTCAGGGCGTGTATAAACCTAGGAATGAGGGTATGCCCCTTCGGTGTATTTCATCCCTTATGGGTGAAATTGGTTGCATTTTGTACACATATTTACAATATTATTAGAGGTTTAATAAATTAATTATTAAAAATTATTATTTTTTATTATTAAATTAAATAATGATAATAATACTATGCGAAGAGCGACGTATTTCCGCAGAGATTGATATGGGTAAGGCTCACATTTCCCCGAGGAGACGAACAGGAGAGAAACATGATTTCACTGTAAGTAAAAGGATGAGTTGAGAACCAAAGTGGAGTGGGAAGACTCTCCCTGTAAGGTCCTGCTTCAGGAATATAGCCTTCGATTCCCGGTTGTAGACTACTTCCCGTAGCCGCCTCCAAACCCGTGGCCACCTCCAAATCCTCCACCGAAACCGCCACCTCCAAAGCCGCCACCGCCGAAGCCGCCACCGTGACCACCGCCGTAGCCGCCGCCGCCGAAGCCGCCGCCGCCGAAGCCGCCACCGCCGAAGCCGCCACCACCGAAGCCGCCACCGTGACCACCACCGTAGCCGCCACCGTGACCACCACCGTAGCCGCCGCCGCCGCCGTAGCCGCCTCCATAGCTCTGGTACACTGGTACAGGAATCACTATTGGGGAAATGTAGCCGCCGCCAAACCCACCGCCTTTCTTCCCAAACTTCTTACCAAATTTCTTGTGTGGGTCAGGGAAGCCGAGGACCGCAGACACGGCCAGCAGGAGCACCAGCAGGAGCGGCGTCTGCAGGAGGAACAACAACACCATCTTATACCACTCTGGCTCCCTGGAGCTCTCGTTCACACCTCCAAGAACAGTTTGGATGGGCAATTAAAGTGGCTCAAACAGGATACATTACATAGCAGAAATGATCTGCTTTGTAATGTATTTAAATCATGTTTTCTGGAAGAGCAAAGCAGTTATGAGGATTAAGCGCTTGGGCAGCACAACTGTATGGCACTTGGAAGGGAATATAAGGATATCAAGCTGTGATTGGACGGAGGGAAGGAATGATACCCAGCTTCTTTGACCATCGGGAATTGAACACTGACATTCAATAATAATTAAAATATGTATTATCAATACTAACGTGAATAAAGCAATGTGTAATAAGATTCTGAATAACGTAGTAAATCATAATGGACATCATTTATTTTGTGTTGTACAATGGATCGCGAACAACATTTTACTCACAAAATTCATCTTGGTTGTCTCCGAGAGGCGTGAGCAGCGTCTGTCTTCTCCCGTTTCTTCCTCCGCTATATATACCAGCATCTTGTTGCCGGACACCTCAAGGGTGTAAAGCTTTCCTGGAAGTTGCCCGGCTGGGGCCAGACTCCTGTCGGGGGGCCGCTGCCCTTCCTCACACCCGCCCCGCTCGCTGGACCACTATTTCACTTCCGCAAGGGAAAGATGAACTTTGTGGTGGAAGGAGTGACCGACCCTGACAACCCAACCTAAGCCGGCAACTCTCCGGAAGGAAAGGAAATGCTTGCACAACTTCCCCTCAAGTTTACGAAATTTGTTCCTCGTCTTAAGGTGCAATTGAATGATAATTATACTCTAATTGTTTATTGTTTTTCTATATATATTCATTATTTCGGTTACATATGATGTCCAGATCAAGAGGGACTGTGGATGACTCGAACGATAACCGCTTCTTGCTATCTATGCTAATATATCTGAAAAGTCGTTATATCTGTCCGCTATGAATTTGTATATAGACGAAAGGAAGTGATTCAAACTATTCACCCATTCACTGGACATATTGGTGTAGAGCGACGCCCTCTCTCGCTTCATGCTGAGTCCAGGTTCGATCCCCGATAGTTCAAGTGGGTTGGCATCGTTCCTTCATCCTGTCCTCATATTCCAGGTCCTTGTCCTTATATCCCGGCCATGTGTGTGTGCGAAGGCATATTCCGACCACGTGTGTGAAGACACATCACCACGAACCAACTGTTCATATAACACAGGGTTGGTAGACGATACTACTGAACACGTAAAATAAATGGCTCTCGTGTATAGTGAGGGCGAGACCCCGAGTTTCACCAGGGCAAAACCAGTTTACATTACATCAGGTAACATTTGGGCACGAAATGACGTAAAAATAGATTCGGGCCAACACATTTCCCCCCCACACTCTCCCTCTCTCTCACGGCATACGTTTTAGAGAGACACTTTGTGCCCCCAGGTGTACCTCTGGTGTGGGAACATTGATTCTACAGCTGGTCTATTGATATTCTCTCTCTCTCTCTCTCTCTCTCTCTCTCTCTCTCTCTCTCTCTCTCTCTCTCACTCTCACCACCGTCATTCGAGAGGCGACCTTCAACAAAAACTGGTTTATTTAATTTGTTCTGGCCCATGACTAGACATCCCAGTATGCTAAAGATTTTTTTTGTATTTATTTATTAATGTTTAAAACCAAATAAATGGGATTTTGTTTGATTATTTGTGACGTTATGCCTTGGTGTACTTGTGTAAATTTAACGTAATCCAACACGCAACACTACCTAGGAGGGAGCCGGTCGGCCGAGCGGACAGCACGCTGGACTTGTGATCCTGTGGACCTGGGTTCGATCCCAGGCGCCGGCGAGAAACAATGGGCAGAGTTTATTTCACCCTATGCCCCTGTTACCTAGCACTAAAATAGGTACCTGGGTGTTAGTCAGCTGTCACGGGCTGCTTCCTGGGGGTGGAGGCCTGGTCGAGGACCGAGCCGCGGGGACACTAAAGCCCCGAAATCATCTCAAGATAACCTCAAGAAGATGATTGTTGAGCTGAGTGTGACCATTACCGGAGAGGTCAGTGGTCCTCACGGCAGGAAGGAAGGAAGTATCAGGAGAAGCGCCAAGCCATTACGACTATATAGCACTGGGAAGGGATTAGGATCAGGATTTGGGATGGGACGGGGGAAAAGGAATGGTGCCCAACCACTTGGACGGTCGGGGATTGAACGCCGACCTGCACGAAACGAGACCGTCACTCTACCGTCCAGCCCAAGTGGTTGGCCCTCACGGCAGGAAAGACAGGTGAGGAAAGTTTAATGTCAAACAGACTCTTGCAGTGCGAGGAAAAAGCTTTCTTAACTCCTCCCCCCCACCCCCCGCCTCCCCGGCCCTTCCGATAAAATTGAGGGTTGATAAAATGGTTCGTAAAGACATCAAATTTAGAGGGGGGGAAAACTTTTCAATAAATCCGCCTCATATTTCCTAAGTTCTCTAAGATCTAAGGCTGGTATATTTGTACGACGTCAAGTATATGTGACGTTGACGTCAGAAGAACTTGAAAGAAAGATGCGTAGCGTCGAAAGGGAAGCATGAGGTGCACTGCTCGGTGCGGTTCACAGATGTCTGAGGAATCGCAGAGATCTTAGCTACAGGGAGGAAGGGAGTGGCAAGGCTTACTGAAAGCTTTAAGAACATTAGCTTGTTACCTAGTTGCCCCTGTTACCTAGCAGCAAATAGGTACCTGGGTGTTAGTCAGCTGTCACGGGCTGCTTCCTGGGGGTGGAGACCTGGTCGAGGACCGGGCCGCGGGGACACTAAAGCCCCGAAATCATCTCAAGATAACCTCAAGATAACATACCTCTATTACGGGCTCACTATAGCCGTGCTAAATGGACATTTCGTTCTGAGTAAATCTAAAACAATAAAAACAACAGTATGACTCTAAAAGTTCATTAATTCAGGGGGCATTCGCATCTCGATTTTCTCAGTGAAAACTTAGGAGGCGTTATTAAGGAGCAGAGTGAAAGGCTTCACCAGGACCTTGAAACACTGGGGAGAGGGGAGCCAGGCCGCTGGGATACTACCGTGATGGGAGACCATATATGGTGTCTGATTAGAAAAGATGTCAGTGTTCAATTGAACTCAATTTCTTTCTTTTTTTATTCACCTCTACCCATCCCGTGCACTGTAGTGGGAAGGGTTACTGAGGCACATAATGGGTTCAAGAACTGAACCCCATAGTTCGTGTAGCTAGGCAAGTAACAATCTTTTGAAGCTAGTTACAAAATAGTTAATTTTACATTCATATGTACTGATATATACTTCCATGTACACAAATACATATACATATCAATAATCTTTTTATATCACAAGTGATTCAACAAGAGGCTCACAACAGGCACTGTACAAGGCACTTTACATCTATGGTGAGTCACACTAGTTACTAGTCTTGCTGCACACCCACCCAACTGGGCGGCAGCTTTACAGTCATGTGCAGGCTGCACCTGCAGTAGGCAAATTTTGGATACTTCGCTAAGATTTCTGACAGTACATCATTATGAACGAAGTACTTACACATATCTTGGACTCCGTTTGTGGTATTATCTCTAAATTCCGCGACTTTTTTCACATTCCATTATATAATGACGCAAAGTATGCGAATAGTTCTGCTGACAGATTTTACATATAGTCAAATCTACATCAGCAGATGTTACAAACTCCCAGAGGTACTTGTAGCCGAGCCTAAGCCTAGCAGTGGTAACATCTAGAAATCTGCTAACCTAATTGGATGACCTATAGACGTACGGTTCTATCTGCATAATAGATGGAGATAATTATAGATGGAGAAACTTGTGTGAGTTTCACTTTGCCTCAAGTCTACGAAATTTTCTTGATGTTCCCGAAATATTACTGCCTTCAGGCTGCTCAAAGGCAGTCCAAGATGTTAATCAATTCTCTCTTTATGAGCAAAAGTTTTGGCTAACTCATCAGTTCTATCATTCATTCGGAGACCAATATGGGAAAGAATCCACAGGAGACAAACTCTGACTCCATCATTGATTATTTCATTATATCTCTGTCTAGCTTCAGACATAAGCCCGTGACAGTTATGCCTTGGGAAGCTGAGTGCAGTTAATGATGACAAGGAGTCACTTACAATTAGCGTGTCAACTTCGGATTCATATACGCGCTCGAGTGCAAGGATTATGACAACCAATTCTGTTTGAAGAGTGGAGGCCCAGTTATTTATACGCACTCCACATTCATAGAAGGAACCATCTCTCGCTATCACAACAACTGCACTTCCAGCTGCACCACAGGATTGGTGAATAGAGCCATCAGAGTAAATAATTTGGGAAAGGAAGCGCTCTCTGATCAAATCATCAATTTGGCTTAAGACATGGTTCAGTCACCCACCAGCTTTATGTTCAGTCAGCCACCAGCTTTACGTTCAGTCACGCACTAGCTTTATAATCAGTCACTCACAGCTTTATGTTCGGTCACCCATCAGCTTTTTGTTTAGTCACCCACCAGCTTTACGTTCAGTCACCCACCAGCTTTATGTTCAGTCAATCACCAGTTTCAACAAATCAACTTAACCAGCCCAACACTGCTCACCCCACACCTTAGTAGGCAAGCCTGCACAGAAATGTTAAACATGACCGCCTGCAGCTCGCCCCGCGCCATTTCCCAACATGTCTCTCTAATATTTAAAATGTTCCATGGAAGCCTGAGAGCATGCTAAAACATTCCTTTCAGCTGCTGTCTTGTTGCTGTGCCGACAAAAAAAAATGGTCTCTGAGTGGAATGAAGTTTTATTTTCCTTTATATTTCTTACATGCGTCAGTGGCTATTTCATTGAAAGTTAGGACGCTCTCTGAAGTAGTTTGTAAAGTACTTAGTTTTCTCTCTTTAGCTGTTTGTATCTATTTAATTGAGAGATAGAGAAAGAGAGTTATAGAGGAGAGAGAGAGAAATGTCGCTGGAAAACAGAATGAAGGCATTTCTATGTTCTTTCTTTCCAGAGAACATGCAGGGAGGGGTCAGGAAATTGACACAGCCTTTGGAAAGGATTATTCTGTATTCCTGCGATTTTATATTAATATAAAACTAACTATACCATTGTTGATAAATAAATTGTACATGTTTTAATATCAGCTCATCGCTGTGTATGTAACATTGAAGCAGGTTCTTGTGTGCTCTGAGATGACCAGCATCTCCGACCCCTGGGACCTAGAGCAGCTACAGCTTCCGAAAGCGAAGGATCTTCACTGCCCGGGAAAGGTACACGACTATGTTAATACAAATACTATCAAGCGTGAGTCCAAGGTGAATATGTATGACATCATTATAGACTATACAAAATTATCTTAAGTTATGATGAAAACCATTTTAAGGAGACATTTTTTACCCCAATGTTGAATTGCTGTGAGATATTTCTTCCAAAATGTTATAAAGAAGCCAGGGAAAGAGATTTTCTATCTCCAGAATACTTGAAGTATGTTAAGGAATTATCAAATAAAATGATAACAGGGAAGCTAGAGGAAACATAGAAACAATACA